GCAAGTTAACTGCTCTATATCACTCTTCCTACAACTTATTGAACCAGATATTTGTGATCAACCCTGATTCCCTGTGTTACTCTGTACATGCTTTTCTTCTAACACAGGTGCTTTATCTCAGGGTTCATGGATGAGTTCTGAACATTCTTGAACTTGGATTAAAATACAGATATATGTATGTATGTGTGTGTGTGTGTGTGTGTGTGTGTGTGTGTGTGTGTGTGTGTATATATATATAGAGAGAATATACCTATTATATATATAGATAATATATATCATATGTATATAGTGATACAGATATCTATATCTATCTCTCTATAATCTATATATGTATTATTTATAATTAACATAGATATATATGTATAAAATATATATGTATTTGTTTCTACTTAACACAGGAGTTTTCAACATAGAGCATTTTACTAATTTCTGAGACATTTTTGGTTTTCATGAACATTCAAGGACACTACTGGCATTCAGTGGAACAGGCTAGAGATTTAGACACCCCACCATGTACAGGACAGTGTGCAAGACTTAAAATGATCCATCAGGCATTAAGGAAATTGCTGAACTCATTGATAATTATCTTAGCTCAGATGTAACTCTTTTAGGATATACATATATATCTATATTAATTATATCTATTAATATAGATATGTATGTTTATATTTTATACACACCTCTATATTAATTATATCTATATTAATTATGTATGTATGTGTGTGTGTGTATATATATATATATATATACATATATATATATATGGAGAGAGAGAGAGAGAGATATCATCTTTATATTTTCAATTACGAATATGGGCAACAAACCATAGCACCTTTTCCGTCATAAATATAATCACAGATACTTACATATAACAAGTGTTATGAACCATAAAATATTATTTGTACCTATCATTATATTAAATTTATATTTCAATATACTTGATTTAGTTCTATGAATTTTATTTTTTATATGAAAAACTACATTTTGAAAAGACAACCATCGTTTTCACTAGACTTCCCAATAGGTTCATGGTGTAAAAAGTGTTTGAGAATTCCTAGCAGTATAATGTCTCTTTCATTAACTTATAAGGCCAAATAATACAGAACATACAAGAATAAGATTAGAATCTGAAAGGCCTCTATGCGAATTGTAGCACCACCGTTTCTACTTAACACAGGAGCTTTCAACATAGAGCATTTGACTAATTTCTGGGACATTTTTGGTTTTCATGAACATTCAAGGACACTACTGGCATTCAGTGGAACAGGCTAGAGATTTAGACACCCCACCATGGACAAGACAGTGTGCAAAACTTAAAATGATCCATCAGGCATGAAGGAAATTGCTGAGCTCACTGATAATTATTTTAGCTTAGGACATAACTCTTTTAGGTAAAAACGCCATGTCTTTTGCATGGTCTACTAGATACTGAAGTGTCCTGGAAAGGAACTAGGACACCAATCACTAATGAAAGAAGTTTTTGTTGTTGCCATTAAGAACCTCACCAAGGCTTGTTTCCTATTTTGAAAAATTCTATCACCCACGTTGAAATTACAGAAAGTATTTGAACTATAGTATTTGTATCAGTCTGCATTTGAAATGCTCACATTCATGTTAATTCTAACAACAGTGAAAGCCTATGTCTACTATATATTCTAGGGTAGCTGTATCCAAGCCTTACACTTTAAAATACATATTAGGATACTTTGAGCTCTCCTTCATATTAAGTTGATTTTTCAAATTATATCTATAGATAGGTTAAATTATACATTACTTCGTTTCAGCATAAAATGGGTCATTATGAATTATTTTACATAAAAATGATTCATTGGGTCTGACAGGGTTGAAAACTACTATGTCTACCTAACTTAGCTTCTATAAATCTCAGTTATTTTATCTATAAATAGCATGGGGTAATAACACTTGTCTTAGAAAATGTTTGTGAGAAATAGTAGATAATACCTTATAGGAGTTAGCACAGTGCCAGGTAATGCTTGATCCATATTAGCTATAATATACCATTATTCCATAAATTTTATAAGTTCTTTTTGAAGTTAGAGCCTATGTTTAATACATCTATTTATTGACAATTTCTGGCATGTATCTTTCAACAAATATTCTCTAATGTCTCCAAAGTTTCACCAAAATAACAACCCTTTTATATTTGAAGAAAAAATAATTTTGTCATTCTTAGAAATATATGCATAAAAATATCAAAGTTTGGGCTATTTTATTAGTAAACTGTGGTAGAAATCGTGGGGAGAAAGGAAGAATTAATCCATGACACTACGTCTGTAGCAGCTAACAAAGCCCACTATCAGTCACAGAGAACAAGACAAGGTAAGAATTTCTTAACTGGTTAAATTTACACACAAACAGCAATCTATACGAAATAGTAATAACTGTATGAGTAGATAAACATAGAGACATGCATGTGTCTTTCTACATAATACATACATATTATATAGCAAAAGGAGGGAGAGACAATACTATCTTTCTTTCCAAATTTCTGTTTAAAATAAATGTGATATCAATAGATGAAGAACAAATACAAATGACCACTGATGTTCTTTGGGTAGGTGTACCTGCAATTTGTCTTAAGAGAATTTGAGTCTCTATGCATTTCTGATTGACTGTTTTTCTCATTTTTTAAATTAAATGAACTTGTAATTTTAGAATCCTTTTAGATTTACAGAAAAGTTGCAACAATAGCACAGGGCCTTTCCAGATACCCTGAACCCTAATTATGTCTTATTTACCTGTCACATTACTAATATTTGTCACATCTAACATTGGCTCTATTTTTTTTTCCACATAAAGACTGGCCAGCTCTTACATTCTTTCTCTTCCATAGAGCTTTTTTTGAGAGATATTAAAAAATTAAGATTGCCATTCTGTTTCACACTGAAAATGTCAGAACATATTTTTAGTTCACAGAGCAAAGGTAGGAGTGGGGCTGCTATTTCAAATGTTGAAAATTAAATGAGCATGTTGTGAAGCGGTTGAGACTGGAGATTCAGTTTACGATAGTGTGGTGGAGAACCATCATGTATGGATGCCCAACGTCTCTGAGCATTCTCCTTGCATTTTGACTGGATCCCACCTCGTGTTGCTCATCTTCTGAAGACTGAAGTTTGATAACTCACATCACTGGATTCCTTTGTAGCTATGTCCCAGGTATTTACACTGAATTCAAGCCAGGTATAAAATGAAAATTAAGCAAAGTGGTATAGTGTCTATATCATGGGGATCTGCTTTTTTTTTTTTTTTTAACAGTGGATGCTACAGTACTGTGATACAGGGTTTCACAGTATTATTTAGTCCTGAAGGGCAAAAGTATTGATGGATGTTTTCCCTAAAGAAACTTCACCATATAATTTGACACAGTTCCACATAGCAGCTTTAGAAGCTTGTACTTTAACCTCTGCAATGATTCTTGAGTGACCTAGCAGTCTATAAATAATTCTTTCTTGGCCCAAACTAAACAAAGTGGACTGTGTTGTCTGCAACTAAGAATATTCACTAACATAATAATTTTTAAAACATGAAGGGAGTGGCAAGTAACAAGAGTCCACAAATGTAGAGCTGACTCTGTGGAGGAGATGCTGGCAGAGACATTGAAGATTTAATCACCTGAGGTTAGAAAGCCAATACATTTTGATATGCAATTGCAAAACAGCTGGTCAAACCTTGTTTGCAATACTTATGTTTGACCACATGCCAGCTGAGGCTTTTTGATGAGTGGGAATGGTAGGAAATAAAATTCAGAATGTTGGCAAGTGCTTATTAAATGTTTCCCCCTTTGAAAAATATACTCTCATACATAGAGATATGTTCAAACAGAATCTAGACAGTTTACAGGTAGAGAGACACAAAGGAGAGCAGACATTTTCAAAAGAGGTTCACCTGCTAGTGTCTTGCAATGCAAATTGACTAAGAATACCATAATTTGGAACTCTGCAGGGTTGAGAAAAGCCAGCTGATTCTGTATACAAAAATATACCTATACAAGCAGAAGCTTCTAAGTGCAACTTCAGAAAGAGATAAAATTGTTGCCCAAGGGCTTTACCAGCACCATTCTTTAAGAGATCTTTGAGTGAAAATGAACGGTAGCTTAGCGGCAAAAACCAAATTAAAGGTATTACATTCTCACTCTGGCATATTATTTTTCAGGAACTGAGGCTGCAACGATTAGGTTAAGGGAGATGAATTTATCAGAACAGAGGAGCCAAGAGTTAAGAGTCAAAATTGTCGAGGCTTACGTGGTTACTTGCTCATAAAATTGTCTTAAAGCCCATCTCCTGGAAGCCCGGTAAGTTTTCCAGGAAACGGTATTGTCCACTGTGCCTCACATTTGGCTGGCTACAGCTGTACTTAAAGTAATTCCTGGGGCCCTGCACTCACAGCAATAAACAAAACAAAACAAAACAAACAA